TGGAGCTGTGGAGTGGCTCCCACTGCTGTGTACACCCCCAGGGGAGACATGGAGGGCAACTACCCCCTAGATTTGTGTGTGTGGCTGCCTGTTGTGGCTTCTTCCTAGCAGGAGAGTTGGGGCAGGGCGGGTGGTGGCAGCGCTGAGAGGGTGGGCTGTGGTGGGAATATGGTGAAATTTGGGGTAGCTGTAGACCACCGCTTAGCCCCCACTCTGAGCGCCACTGCTGCCTGCCTTAAGCACAGCCCCTACCCAGCCCCCTCACTGGGAAGAGGCTGGCACAGCCTCCAGTCCCAGTGGCAGCCCACCCTTGCCTTGTGCACAAATCCAGGAGGGCACATACCCACCAGGCCTCTCTCAGGGGTGCACACAGCCATGGGAGCCAGCCCCCACAGACGAGCCGCCTGCAGCTCTGTCCCATGCCCTGTCCTGCCCCAGCTGGGCAGTGCGTAACTCTGCCCCAGCCCCACTTCTTCCCTCACTATGGACCCTTCAATCACGCCCCTTCCCTACCACAGACTTACTGGCTGTAAGCTACTCTCTAAGCTGCTGGGCTGCATTCCTGGCTACGTGCAAGCTGCAGCTCCGCACATGCACACGGCATTTATCAGTGACATTATTGGCCACACTGGCCAAAAAAAGCCAACTGCCGATAATATCAATTTTCCTTTTATTGGTGCCAATATGATATGGACTGATATATCAGTGCACCTCTACAGGAAAGAGAAACAAGCATAAAAAAATAAATATATGCTTTCAGAGCTGACTGCCCTGAGAAGTTCACAGCTGGACAACAACCCCCTGCTTTGTTAAAATATAAATGATAACCTATGATATGAAACCAGGTTATATATTCTTAAGCTGTTTCCTCAAAGGAAAAAAAAAGCTTGCAGTAAAATATAGTAAGAACTAAATAGCAGCAAAGGAAGCAATTATGGCACTTCTTTGTATGACTACAGAATAGCAGTTCATACATCTTTTGTCTTCCAACAGATTGAGACTATTCAGCACAAGGTTCTGTTTTCATTCACAAAGACCAAAGAGCAATTAAAGAGATTATACATCTCTTCCTATTAAATCAAGTTAAATCTCTCTTCTTACAGCTATCTAAAGAGAACAGCTCTAGGAAGTAGGATGCATTCCCAATAGAGGAGGACCATTTAGGGGGAAAGATCAGGTCTTTCATGACTTAATTCATCTCAGTAGTTTTATATACAAATTCTGAGACACTGCTTGGCAAAACAAGCTCAAAACAGAATCTATGTCCAAGTCATTTGCTGTTTCAGTTCAACTCTTCAGTTCAAGGCCCTCATGCTAGCAGTGTGCTTACATAACTGCTTGACTAAGTATACAAGTAAATACCGTCCCTCTTCAAGCACAAAAGCAAATTTAAGTTCTGCTGACTTCATCTAAGTGCTCTGTGAAGTGGAGTAACCTTATTCATGTGCTAAAAATCCAGCACTGCTCCAATACCTTGCTGAATCAGGGCCTTGGCCCTGGCTCTTGCACCTTAAGTATTTGTTGAATAGGTCAAGCCAAAGATAAATTATCTCCATTCCACAAAACAAAATCTGGAAGGATGTCTTGTGATGTGTTATGTAGAAACAAAGTATGGCAGTGCTTTGTAACATAAGGCAATGTTTGAGGGTAATGCAATACCAGAAACCATATAAAAATGAATTTCATCCAAGTTTTAATATACTTTAAGGCACTTTAACTAAGGAGAGTCATCCTCAATGACTACACCATAAGAAAAGCCTACATCTGATGCTTTTTCTCACTCACCGGCCCCATGGATCCTTGAGACCTCGCCTAGCCAGTCTTTCTTGCACTTCCTGTAGTGGAGTACCCTCTATCTTCCATTGCCTATAGTCAGGGAGTTCCACTTTCCCATGGCCATGCCCATGTCCGTGCCCTTGCTCATGTCCATGATCCATGCCTGTAGGAAAAGTTTAAGAAGCAAACAGTTTTTTCAAGGTGCATAATAAAACATTAATTTGCACATAATTCCTAAAATCGACATACACCCTGGGAAAACTGGGGTGAAGGCAGAGATGTTTCTAACACCTCCCCAGTACAGATGAAGCACTGTTATAAACCAGTCATTCTCAGTGAGGAAGCCGTGGCAAACTGGGGTGCCACAAGATTCTTTTAATGGTTATGCAGCATGCCATGCCATATTAGCGCCATTAGGTGTGCAAACATGTACATGATTCACAACCAGCCCCCTCCACCAGAGATTTCAAATATGAAACATGGTGTCAAAAACATTCTGACACTAGAGTTTTCTTAGTTCTTTCCAAAGGAAAAAATTCTCTGTTATTTTTCCGTAGACAAAAAACAAGTTCAAGTCAAGATCTGGCACTTTCTGTGGGCTGCTTTAAGTCTAAAAAGATTGAGACCCGACTTTTGAAAAGTACAAATCTGTTGCCAATTCAGCAACAGCTGTGTGGGGGTTAAAGTTCTAGCTTTTTGCTAATGCTGAAGAGTGTACTCTGCCCCAGGGGACAGGATTCAGCCATGAATCTGGAAAAGTCTTTTTTCCTTCATTCTACCTTCCCAAAATAACATGCATGTCTTATTGGGGTGGGAGGGACAGGCAAGAAATATGGTGTAATTTCTTTTTGATTATTTCATAGGCAACTGTTTTTCAGAATTCATTATGTAGCATACAGATTTCTAAGATGTTATTGAAATATTTCATCTTGGAAGTTTTTTCACTATTTAGGAAATTATATTTTCCCTGGCATTCACTCAGTAGATCTCTTTATTTTAATAATTAAAATAATAGTTTCATAGTTGGTAGGGTGGGACGGGACCTGAGCAGATCATCAAGTCTGACCCCCTGCCATGGGCAGGAAAGAGTGCCAGGTCTTAAATGACCCTGGCAAGGTCTCTATGTAGCCTCCTTCTGAAGACCCCCAGGGTAGAAGCGAGCACCACTTCCCTTGGAAGTTGGTTCCAGATCCTAGCCGCCCTGACTGTGAAGTAGTGCCTCCTGTTATCTAGCCTGAATCTACTATCCGTCAACTTATGGCCGTTATTCCTTGTTACTCCCAGCAGTGTTCTGGGGAACAAGGACTCTCCCACTGCCTGCTGGTCTTTCTTGGCCGGTTTATAGATGGCCACCAGATCCCCTCAGCCTTCTCTTGTGGAGGCTGAACAGGTTCAGGTCTCGTAGCCTCTCCTCCTAGGGCCTGCCCTGCTGCCCCCGATCATGCGAGTGGCCCTCCTCTGGACCCCCTCAATGCTGTCCACATCCCTCCTGGAGTGTGGCACCCAGAACTGGACGAAGTACTCCAAATGTGGCCTGACCAATGTCATATAGAGGGGGAGGATCACCTCCTTGGACCTGCTCGTGATGCATCTGTGGATGCATGACTTGCAGCCTGTCCCTCCCTTCTAGCGTGCCCACTTCTCCCCACATCTTAGTGTCATCCGTGAATTTGAACAAGGTGCTTTTCACCCCCTTGTCCAAGTCACTGATGAAGATGTTGAACAGTGTGGGCCCGAGGACTGAGCCCTGGGGGACCCCACTGCCCATATCCCTCCAGGTCGAAAATGACCCATCCACCACCACTCTCTGGGTGCGACCCATCTGACTGTGTAGGCACCAACACCACAATCTCCTAATTTTTTAATGAGAATGGGGTGAGAGACAGTGTCGAAGGCCTTCCTAAAGTCCAGAAAGTCCACCGCGACACCTGCATCCAAGGATTTTGTGACCTGGTCATAGAAGGCCACGAGGTTGGTCTGACAGGACATGCTTCTAATGAACCCATGTTGGTTGCCCCTAAGCATACATGCCTTTGCTTGCCCCTCGCAGATGTGCACCTGGATAATTTTCTCAAAGAGCTTCCCCAGGACCGAGGTAAGACTAACAGGCCTATAATTTCCTGGGTAAATAGATAAGAAAAAGCCTTCTGGGTTTAAGAGTTTTAGACTGATTATGAAACCTGCAGTTCACCATGTTGGGAAATGTTGTTAATGCTAATATAACACTTAGTCCTGCATTTAACTGTATTAATACAACCCTAATTAGATATAAGTCCTTTAAAGTTATGTTTTAAAATTCCTGAAATTCAAGAACTTTTACATTAAGATGGAACAGTATAAATACGTTAATTAAAAAAAAAAATCACAATAAAACATGCAAATTTCTTATCCATTCCAACTGTAAAATATCTTACTTAATAGGAGATCATACAGAAGTAAATATATACAGGTTTCCCTTGCTAACTATGGTTTTGAGCATCTATGGTTAATATTCTGTATACCGTTTTGGCTACCACAGTATACAGTTTTGAGTAATCATGGTCTTCCATGGCCGCGCATCAGCCTGCCAGCCCTCTGGTCCTGCTCGTGCCTCTCCTTCCCCCACCACCTGGAGATGGCTCCCAGCCCTGCCAGAGGTGAGTGCAGAGGCAGGGAGCTGCCCTACTCGCGGTGGCAGGGAACAGTAGGCCCACTCGCCGCTGTTCCCTGCTGCCCTGCTTCCCTCCCCTGCAACCTGGCGCAGCAGGGAGCAGAGAAGCTGCACAAAGTCTCCTTGCCTGCTGCTGCTTTCCCCACGCTGCCCTGGCAACACGCCTCCTATGTCTGCTCCTGGTTTGAGGGGCGCAGCCCTGCACGCAGAAGGCGCGTTGCCAGGGCAACATGGGGTGAGCAGCAGTGGGCGAGAAGATTCCTGCGTGGCTTCTCTGCTTCCTGCCATACTGGGTCGCAGGAGGGGGAAGCAGGGAACAGCAGCCCCAGCCATGCCAGGTCATGGGACAATCTGAGCCTGACCGCTCATCCAGGGGTGTGGGTAGGTGGCTCCCACTGCCGCCAAACTCGGATTGTCCCAAGACTTGGCCCAATCAGGGCCCCATCTGTAGGCTGCTGACTGGCCAATTGTGCGCCGCCAGAGGCGAGCATAAAACACCCCTACCCCACCATTCAGACAGGTCCCTCATCTCCCCTTCCCCCAGGTAAGAGGTGAATGCACTGGAGGAGATGCTGCTGGTGTGCCCGCGGATGTGCACCTCCTATAACCTGTCTAATTACCCCTACGGGTACGCCTATTCCCAGCTGACAACCCCATGTATTAAAGGTAAGTAAAAATGATTTTTATACAATATACTGTACAATATTCAAGTCCTTAACCCCATTTTTCCCATAAGTCTTTAGTTTTACCAACCACAGGAACTTTCTGAACCTAACCCCAGCAGCTGGTGAGGGAAACCTGTAGTGAGGCAATACAAGCGTTAAAATATCCTTGTCCAACAGCAGTTTACTAAAAACAATTTTAACCTATCATATACTAAAATAGGTGTGCAACACTTTGTATTCAAAACAGATGAGACTTGCTTTTTTAAACACAAACTAAATCTAATATATGAAACAATGAGCTGAAAGAAGACCTTGTACATTTCAGTAGAAAAGATTATTCTCAATATTTCTCCAGCATGGCTCTTCTTCCTAACCTACTGAAACTAGTTTAGTTCCTGTTAGGGAAATCTGCATGTTTTTAAAAATATTGAAAAAAATAAAAGAGACGTTAAACTTGACTCTTGCTTTTAAAATGCAGAAAAATTATATTTTAATCAAAGATCTCAACAAAAATACCTAAAAATGGCACTGTCTCTCATCTGATTTTTTTAAAGCTCTTTAAATTATTTCTGCATCTAAAAGAAATAGGGAAGACCAGAGTGAGATGTGACTTAAGTGTCTGGGAACAATTTTGACTTTCAGAACTGGCAACTTCATTGTCTGCTCTACACAGACCACAAAAGATGTGAATCTCTAAATCAGTGGTTTGCAACCTTTTTAGGCTTAAGGCACCCCTCATTAAATTCAAGGCACACCTCCATAAATTTTGTGAATTGAGCGGCACCTCACTTCAAAAACTGATTTGTTATAGTGCTTACCTGCTTGCAGAGGAACTGGACAATGGGTTTAGAGCAAAAGCCAGACAGGGATGAGTCTGAGCCTGCGCTCATCTCCTCACAAGCACCCTTCAAAGAATCTCAGGGGCACCCTGGCTGAGAATCAGTGATCTAAATGGAGTCCCTGTATAACAAGGATGAAATACGTTGACAAGGGAAGACTTGTATTGCTGCAGCTGCTGCCAGTACCTGTTTTGTGGTTCAGTACAACCGTGCAGTCTCCAATGCAGTCAGTGAGGCTAGATCTATCAAAGTACTGGAAACTAACAAAAAAAATAAAACATCGAACGATTAATCAGGAAGATGTCGTACAGGAACCTAGAAGTCAGGAGATAAATTAAGTTAAAATAAGAATGTCAAAAAATAGTGATAAAGTAGACATATAGGTAACTCAACAAAAACAAACAAAAATCACCACCAAAATGGCATTTGACAGTATACTGAATAGGGGTGCACCGATAGAGATTTTGGGGGTTGATACTGATAGCCGATTTTTAAGGAGACATATTGGCTGATACCGATCTGATTTCTGATATGCAGCCCAGCAGCTTGAAGACCTGTGTCTAGCTGGTAAGTCTGTTGTGGTGGAAGGGAAGGGGGAGGGAAGGGGCATGGGGGTGCAGATCAAAGCTCCTGTGGTGAGGGAGAGGGGGGCTGGGGCAGGTGCTGCCCAGCCGGGGCAGGGGATGGAGCCACGGCTCATCCAGGGGGTGTGAGGTGGGGCAGCTCCTGCTGCTGCATGCGACCCAGGAGGGCATGGGGGGGAGGGAGGAAAAGGGGGCATGTGCCCCCAGATCTGCATGAGCTGTCCCCCACCCCGTAAAAGCCGCTGCTGTGTCCCACACCCTGCCCCAGCAGCACATGCCCCAACCCCACTCCCTCCCTCACTGCGGGGACCTTGATCCGCCCCCCGGCACCCCAATGCCCCTTCCCTCCTCTCTCCCCTTCCACCACAACAGACTTACCAGCTGGATGCAGCCAGCTCTCCAAGCTGCCGGCCTGCGCTCTTGCTGCCTATGTTCTGCGTTGCGGCTGTGGGCATGCACGGGCATTTATCAGCCAAATTATTGGCCACATCAGGCCGATTTCTGATAGTCAATTTTCTTTATATCAGTGCCAATCTAGTATCAGACTGATGTATCATTACACCACCAATAGTGAACATTCTCTTCTACCCCTTCCCTTGCTTGGGCCAGATTAAAGCATGTTTAAAACTACCAGAGTTGTGGTAAATGGCACATAGATCACTAATTACATCTGTGCCTAATCTTGTTGTCTTATCTAGCTCATTTTTTATTCCTTCACTTTGATATTTACATTGCCTTTTATTTCAGTTATGATAGAGCTTGTTTTAATAACTAAACTTAGCAATCCTTATTTTTTGTAAATATTATTTGAAATGCCACTATTTAATTTCAGAATGCATGTAACATTCCATCCACAAGGGAATTGGGATATATGGCAATTTGCATGTCAGCTTCAACAGATCTGTTACTTGCTCATTTGACAGACCACTACTCTCTACAAACAATACCATCAGCAAAAGCATGTAAACTAGAATTCAAAGGAAAGGGGTCTGAGAGCTTTAATTGAATTATGTCAGACTAATGAAAGAGAGGTAGAGGCACACATCTGTTGATATTTATGGGACGCTGGAAGCCCCTTTTAAAACTCACTTTTGGGGAAGGAAATGGCTATAGTTGGATATTGTGAACACAGGGAAGGGAAGTGCTTCACTCAAAGGGCTTAATTCATTATCTCCACTGGATGATGGGCAGGGATCTGGGTTTTCTGTTTCCCACAGGAAAATGGAATAAAATGCAGATTTCACCTTTTACCTGAGAAAAACAGCCTTTTCATTAAACTCTTTGCAAAGGGCTCTGTGGGCTGGCAGAGTTCTAGCCTGCAAGGGGTTGGGGGGAAGCGGGAGGAAGGCACATGCACATGGCTGCCAGGCAGCCTGGAGAACAGCTCCTGCAGGTAAGTTTGGCGGCAGGAAGTGGGGATTGTGGCCCCATAGGAAGGGAGGGAGTAAGCTGCGGGTGGCAGCCAAGGCTCAGGTGCTACTACAGGGAGCAGCAGGCTGCAGATCCAGGTCCTTGGCCCCATAGCCCTGGCAGCTGGAGGCCCCCTCTGGCAGGGCTGGGGGGACAGGGGGCTATGTGCATAGGGTGACTGGCACCAGGAGGGCTGTGGCTTGGGAGTGAGAGGCCTGGATCTGTGTTCTGTGAGTGAAGGGGGAGGGGGAGCTCTGATTTTGCCATGATAAAAACCAAAAATCAAACACCAAAATTTATAGGTGTTTAGAATTTATTTTATTATAGCGACTGAGGCACTGGGAGGCTTCCAAATTGCTTTAAAATTGTAAATATATCATGAAAGCATTGTGGTTAATTGATATATATGAGTGGTGTTTCATTTTATTCACAGATTTCAGGAGTTATCAGAGAATTTGTGAATTTTTTTATCAGAGAAAACCAGGATCCCTGATGAGGAATAAGCCCCATTTTTCTTTTGTAGATATTTAAAAGAAATCTCAAAGGTCCTCAAGAATCTTTATACACCAATACTCTAACCACAAATTAGACAGTACATGAGAACTGGTTTTGACAATCACACTAGACAGATATACTAATTGCAGTAGGAGAATATTTCAAACCTTAATCCAAATAACAGTTTTATGGCTAACAGGAATATTTATGATAATATAATCTCCAGCATTGAACAGGCCACAATATAGATGCTATTCCTTACTGGTATTGCCTCACAGGCCACCATTTATATAAAATCCCTGTGGTAACTCCAGCAATTGCCCTACAGCAGGGGTTGTCAACTGGGGGTATGTGTATCCCTATGGGTACTCTGAAAGGTCCCAGGGAGTACATGGGGGCAGATGGGGGTGGAGCACTGCCACCGCCTCAGAAGAGCAGAGTCTCACAGATGCTGCGCTGCTGCTCTGCCACTCACCACATCCCCACTCTGTGTCTGGCTGCTCACAACCCACCCTGCTCAGCATCCAGCTGCTTGCCAACCCCTCCCCAGGGGTACATTTACTAAAAAGAGGGCTGTTGGCGGTTCCCTTATTAAAAAAGGTTAAAAACTGCTGCCCTGCAGCACAGAATAAAATCACTTCATGCATTTGCAATTTCTGTAGTCTAACTTTGCATCAGGAAACAAGAAGGGCACAAGCACTGTCTCACTAGAAAACTGCCAGTGGTCCTTCAGCAAGTGGACAGCCAACTCAATAGGGAATCATTACTTTAAATAAATAAACAAACTTTACTTTTAATGTCAATCCTATTTAGGAAACCCTGAGGATTATCCAAGCCCATAAGGCTGGCAAGAAGTGCCCCCATGATCATCTCTCATCCTTTAACTGAGCACCATTTTTCTTAGCAAAGACAACATGGTGTAGCTTTTTTTGCCCTGCAGTTACCATTACAATAAGTAAAAACTGGGGTGAAAATAGCCAAGCCCTCCCAGCTGTGCAGAGGGTGTACTCCTGGTGCTGGTGACAGCCCAAGGTCAAAGAGCCACTAACGTGCAAACATGTTAGTGCTCGCTGAACTTTCCCAGGGCCGAGGCCTCTGGATGTGGCACCAAGCCGCGCACAGGCAGATGCACGAGCTGGGACCGACACCCAGTCCGGTCCGCCCCTCTGCTAGGTCTAGGGCAGCGGACCCCACGTGGGGGGGGGGGGGGGGGGGGGGG